TTTCGGTCAGTCACGTGACCGAGGAAAGCTCAGGACGGTGAGCCAAGGTCTCGTCCGAAGTAAATCTTATTCACTTGCCTCCCCACTTCCCCACCCCCAAACGGCATTAAATTTGGGGCAATATCATTCTTTTGCGGGTCGTCTTGCAATCCAGCTTCTCTTAACGTCTAAGAGCGCAGGTACACGACGTTAATTTGAAGACAGACCTCAAACAAGGTCGATTAGCGGCAGCGGAAAAATAGCAATTTCGAAGACTTTCGTCTAGACACAAACACTGGGTGAGTGGTCTTCGCGTCGCGTGGAGGTGGGACCGACTTTGGGTGCAGATGCGAAGAGGAGGACGCAACTGGGCCGTGGTCTCGATAGCTGGAACCTTCCAGAAGCAACGAGTTGAAGCAAAAGGACGGCGTGGAGGCAGGCAGGTGCTATCGGCCTACTGCCTGGTGTGGAGTGAATGCCGGCTCCTGATTGGTGCTGGCTTCGGATGGGCGTCGGCTTCTGATTGGTGCCGGCCGATCGACACTCGCCTCGGTGCCGGTAATCACAGTCTGCCAGGTCCAATGGCTGGCCTCGGCACTGCCGGTGAGAACTGCTCGGCCGATAGACGGATGAGTCATGCTGCGTGAGAGGCATTCAAGCCAGAGGTGAACTCACTACCGGCTGGAGTGAAACCGTGAGATGCAGAGACTCCAGAGTCGGTCGCCGCAATGGTCTTGGCTTCAAACGAATTAATGAGGACTGCTCTCATCCACATTTCTCGGCTAACAGGAGACGTGAAGAGAAGCTGAAATTCGCTCAACAGACACGCCATGCCACATTGAAGTAGGCAAGTGAAAAGTGGTGACAGTGAAAGCATGCTACGAAGGAGAGATTGCACAATTGTTTGGCAGACAATTCGTCAAAGGATCGGCTTCACTTGTCTCTTTGACGAGTTGTTGTGTGCTGCTAAGAATGGCGAAACGTCTGGGAATGTACCATCTACACGATCCTACTCTGGAAATGAGCATGACCAAATTGCAAAAACAAGGTCAAACAAATTCTTCTGCATCCTCAAGTGACTCGTCTCGTTGTGGGAAAACGCAACTTTGAAACTAATCACAAGAGACTAGGGCATGGCAAGTCATAGACTTGGTATTGCGGATAGAAACAGGATAGACACGGTGGAGACTGGAGCTAGTTAGCTGACAATAGGTT